GTTTGTTTTTCATTTGGGAGTCCCAAGTTCGAGTGAAACCGAATATAAGATAATCGGCAGTTGCTGAGTTCACAGGTTAGTCCAAAATAGAAGGTCTGTTGTATGAGAAGTAGGTATATTTCTGGAGCCATTTTTGATAGAACTTTATTGCTCTGTTTATTAATGCCTTAAGGGGTTAGTTACATGGAATTATTTATTTTCAAAATTAAAAAAATATATATTTTATTAAAATTATTATTATAATTTAAATTAATTATTATTTTTTAAACTATTTTTTTCACCTTGAAGTAAATTTTTTTTTTTCAAAAAGTGAATTTATTTTTGAAACTTCGAAAAAATTTGAAATTTTCCAACTTCTTTGGTATTTTCTTGGTACATACAGAAGAGACACTCATAAAATAAAAAAAAAAAAATGGTTCGGCTGTTTCAGATACATCGCACGACCTGTATCACTGTATCACAAGCCCGGTTTTAAGAGTTCAGACTGCAGCCGCTTTAGAAAACTCATCACAATATTGGGAAATTCCAATATTTTTTTGATACTAAAAATTGTTTTTGGAGTTAAAATATCCTACATTATTGTCTGAAAATCTCGTTTACCGCCATAATTTCCTTCCCTTTCAAAAAAAAAGTGCTGAAAAAACGTATTTCGGATTTAAAGGGAGATTAAGGCAGTAAGCAATCCAATATCTCGAGGACCTGTATAAAATATTAAAATATTTCAAGAACCGTCGTTGAAAACACAGTTTCGAGAATAACACCTTAGAAGTTTAAAGCGCTGAGCCTACCTGCCTTTGAGCGCACATCTTTTCGAGGCTGTATCTCCGAAACTTTTATTTATTATTTTATTATTAAGTATTAGCATTACCTTTAGCCCGTTAAATGGAATAATGGAACAATTTGTGTTCATACTAGACTATGGAAATTATAAATACACAATTTTATCGATTTCTGTCCTCTGTCCCGTGGTTTCTTAGATGTACTTTTTGACCCAAGACCCTGTGCAGCCACGCAACTATATGAGAGGGTGTCATAAACTTGATCTGATTTAACCAGTTTCCAATAGCGAGCACACTTCTAACCCCAAGAACTGACTAAATCTCAATACTTACTTGAGTTTTCGTGTACTCAGACGGACAGACAGACAGCCAGACATGGCCGAACCGTCCCGTAATTCCATGAAGTTTTATATATTTGTGTATATCTTACCCTTACATGCAATCGTTAGCTGAACAAACCTAATACAATTTGTACACACAGTAGAGCTGAAGAAATATATAAAATAATTCGCCCAGAATTTTTAAAAAGTTGAACCTTCCCTCTTGCGGTGTTAAAGAAAAAACCTTACGCAGTTCTATCGCTTGAAGCATATTCATATGTATGTATTATGTACGTATGCAATATATATGTTTTGAATTTGGTTAAAAAGCCGCATTTCACAAATGACGATTCGCCCCGTTGCATAACTAAGTCAAGTCAAGCCAAGTCAATTCAGCGACAGATCAAACAAAGAATCATGACGCTCACACTAACATCGCTCGCACATACCTACATAAATACATTGTATTTACTGACTGATATGCGATATGCCGGTTGTAATTGAAGAGATCACCAGTCATAACTGGGTAAACAAGTAAGTCATAGACAAAAAGGTAAAAATAATAATGAAAAATGGCAAATGTAGGCGGCTCCTCTTACGCGGCGAACAACTGTAAATGAATGATTGAATGCAAATAGAGGAAAGAAAATGCCGTGAGGCAGCTCACATCCAACTACAATATTTGCAACAGAACAACAACGACATTGCAATATATGTACTTTTGTTTGTATGTATGCAGATAATGCTATCGATGACGAAGCCATCAAATCATCAAAGCCAATGAACTGCACATACATATACATATATACTGTACACATATGCTAATGATACCAGCTTGCCAAATATACATACGTACATGCATGCATACATACATACTAAAATATACAATAAGGATGTAAATATGTACAAAAGTGGCCAGAGCTTGCGGTGACGGCAAGACTCAAAGAATATTTGCATCTACATACGTGTATGTATGTATTGCGTAAAATTCTCCTTGACAATATTTGTGGCATGTCAAACAACTACTGGGACACTTATGCGCCTATCGCTTGCTTTGTTGTCATTTTACCTCTTTTGTTTGACGGGCAAATGTGCCAAATGATGCAATCGTTCGCTTAATCTCTGACAGAGATGTTAGAAAGAGCTACGTATGTATGTTGGGGTGTTACCAAATACTCGTACATATCAATGATTTCATTCTGGAGGTAACAATTTCTCGTATACAATAATGTACGCAAATTTTTATTAAGTCTGATGGGTTAATTAACCAAATATTCGATATGGACTCAATTCAACAGATCTTATATACGGAAAATCGGTTGCATATACGATGCTGTAGTGGTCCGATCTGGCCGGTTGTGACAAATAATAGTTTAAATTGTCTGTGTACCAAGTTTGGAAATATCCTAAAAACTGAGCGGGATGTCATTCTGATCCGAGCGGTATTAATTTTGATGGGAGGCATTCTAAAATGCTTCGAGTGTGCTGCCAAATGAGGAATAGAATATGTCTCTATTCTGTTGTTATCAACATGATAACGGTGCAAAGCATAATTCGCTGTTGTAATTTGTAAATTTGTATTGTTTATAATGCACGATGTGCCGAGGGAAAAAAAATTAAGATACAAAAAATAAAATCGAAGTAAAATAGAATTGAAATTTGTTTAATTTTACTTTTTTACTACTATTTTGGCAACCAAAATATTTGCTTATAAAAAAATTTTGCTTACAAATAGTATGTTAAAATTTAATACTGCTATTATTTTGTTAATGGGTATATGCCTTATAAATTTATTTCTGAAGAATAATTATTTTCAATAAAATCTTCAATAAATTTCAAAAAAAAAAAAAATTACTTCAAAAATTAAGAATAATATAAAAAAATATTTTTTATTCGCGGTTTCTTGAGGTTCATAAAATGTAAATATACGGTGATTAACTGTAGTATTGGCACAGTAAGATAATTCAACTTTAACACCCTTTTCGACCAATCATGAAAATTTTTTTAATTCCGAAAAAAATGCCATACAAAGGAACACATTTTCAACTATTTTCACTTCGATTCATTCTATTCTCTTTTATGCTAAATTAATACTAATTATAAATGAAAAAATTTCACTAAACCAAACTATTAGCGCACAAACAAACAAACAATAAAAAATGCCATTACAAATCTGCATATTGGCAAAACTAATATTTATCACTCATATCAACATTGGATTTTAATTAAACAGGTTGCAACCATAGAATATCGCACCCTAATAATTAGGCATGCGACAAAAATGCTAGTCTTATGCGTAGGTACATGTTGTGTGGCAATAATTAACTGCAGTCGCATTAACTAGTTGTGTCTGACAGCAAACAAAAACCAAAAAAAAAAAAAAAATAATAATAATTATAATAGTAATAAATGGAAAGCGAAAAGGAATAACCATAAAACGACAACTGACAGACTGACAGCGCAGCGCGCTCTTGATGAAATGAGTCAAGCACTGAGTGATGACACTTTACAAAGTATTCTTCCATAAATATTATAGTTTTATACACATGCACATATATGCCTCTACCTACAAATCTTTTATACATATGTACATATGTATATAGAAACTGGTTTCATACATCTAAATTAAATATGTCAGTAATGACAGCAAAATATAATAAATTCTATATCATATGCATTGTGACAGCAAAACTTAACCTCTCTATGTGTGCGAGTGTCTGTGTGACGGGTGTTCACATTTTTTTCCAATAATAATTTTAAGTGTAAAGCAAAAGATATGAGCTTTCGCATTTAAGCATTAAGGTTAGATTAGGTTGGGTTAATCTGTCCGCCTGATGCGTCCTTCATGACCCGTCGGTTCTTTGTAGTGCCAGATGAAGGTACGTGATCTAAACTGGTTTTCGTATAATAGGATGCAAGTAGGGTGTTTCACGTCGTTATGCCATTAACTGTCATTCAGTCCCTATGTGAGGGTGTACCCATTGCTGCTTTTGCAAGAGATTTTGGTGACGCCGTATTCAACTTTTACGAAAATTTCTTTATAGAAGTTGGCAACTTTTATATATCCTGTACTGATTCGTTAGCAAAACGGATGGCACTTTTGGTAATGTCATCAACTATTTTTTTATCCACATTGAGCTTACACTCGGCCGCCCTATCTATTGCTATTGCTATGTGAGATTATTGCCTAAATTATCGTCTGACTGTCGGCATATATAATATTATTATATGTAATATATATATATTTGGCACTTTGTAACCGCTGAAGCGATTTTCGCCCGAGCTCCCCCTCCAATTTGTGGTTTTGCGTCTTGATGTTTTTCGAATAAAATGGAGTGATCTACAGTTTATACTAAGCCGCCTCCGAACGGCCGATGATTTTTTTTATGAGGAGCCTTCATGTCATGTCGGAAGTACACTCGGAGGCGTTGACATTCCCTGCCGAGTGGCGACCGCAATTAGAAAATTTAACTTAATTTTTTATTTATGTAAATTAATTTTCTATTACTTTTTGGATGTTGGTGCGAGGCGGGAGGGTTGGCTAATTGGTATTGCAATTTTTAGCCGAAATCCCTCTCCGACAGTTTATTCTAAGCCGTTCCGAATAGCTGAATGATATTTAGAAGCTGCTTTTCTTTCATGCCCACCCAGAGGTTGACATTCCCTGCACCCAATAATATTCCGCATACACATTCTGATTTCGCAATCCTAGTTACGTCCAAGCAAAGCGAATCAGAGGCACCTCCTAATGGATATATGTAGCCTATGTCTTTAAGTACGGTACTAAGCCCATCGACGAACAATTCGTAATAAGAAAAAAGAATGTACAGGACGAAAGAAAATTATGTAGCAAGGTTAAGATATTTCTGTCAAATAGAATCGAAAATGGCAAAATACTAACCAAACCAATCATCACTTAATGTCACCGTTATTTGGCTTAAACTGTCCGCTGCTGATGATTTGTCATATTTTGCAATTGCCACTGGATCGTTGATGGTCGCCAAGGAGGATCGCCGTTTCGTCGACGCTGATGAAGGCGTCTGCTGTTGCCGTTGCTGTTGTTGGTTGTGTTGCGAACCATCAACTTCATCTGCTTCCGCGTGTACATTCGAGTTTTTGGTAACACTTGTTTGCACTACTTCACTGTTCGCATGCGCGGCATGGCGATAGAACTTACGCGCGGCACGCAGAAAATGAAAGAGTCGCGTCGTATCGGTGGATGAAACGCTGCTGGTATTGCTAAGTGAAGACGCGCACTTTGTTGGCACACTTTTCAGAAGGGAATTGTTAGAATTACGATTTTCAATGGAATTCTTAGGAGCAATGCAATTTGTTTTGGTATTATTTGGTGAATTCACTTTGTTGGCGGTTCTTTGTTGTGCTGTACTGTTGGTAGTTGCTTTGGAGTCGGTAGTGTTATTTACTACTTTATTATTATCGCTGTTATTTTTATGTTTTGTTTCGGCTTTCACTGCGCTGTCAGCGCTGAGACTGTTTTTCTTGTTGTTTCTCGGCGCTTTGTCGTCACTGCGATTAAAGTTTTCAGGCACAGTTTTGCTTGCGGCCATCAAAACCGCTGCTGTGTCGCTGTTAGTGGTTTTAAAGCTTTTGTTGTTGTGATTATTGATTTGTGACTGTCGTTCACAGCTTTCTCGAGGTACGGCTACCACTTTAGCCACACCTGCCGCCGACGCTGCTGTGGTTGCGGTGGACGCGTTTCGAAATTCTTTATGTGTCGCCACACTGCTGGCGCTGCGTATCAATGGCGCATGCTCGGCGACGCGCGTACAATGCCTCGGTGCGCTTTTCTTAAGCTCGCAACTGTCGCCGCTGCCAATGATGGCCTGTTTGCACCAGTAAATGTTGCTATTGCCGCCGCCGACGCCGTTATAGTAGTAGCGTCTACGCGTATCGGCGGATTTGGTGTGCGATGTTAGTGCACCCGCCGTTGGTGGAACGAATTTGAATGAGTCGCGCGGACTTGTCGAATTACTGCGACGCTGACGACGTTGGCGTTGCAATGAGTTTGAGTTGTGCGAATTGAAGGAAGATTGTGTTGAGGAGGACGATGGTGATGAGGAGGAGTATGAGTGGCTATTTTTATTGTTATTGTTGCAGCTGGTAATAGTTGCCGAAATGAGCGCAACCTTCGGCGAATTCAGGCGCTTTAAACTTTGACGCAGCGTGTGCTCAAATTCGTTGGAGCTCGAGTCGGAGTTGCTGGGTTCGTCACTGCAAATAGCAAACGATGTTGCTGTGGCAGAAGATGTTGCTGAAGTTGGCGAATGCTGTTGTAAAACGTTGTTGTGCTGATGGTGATGCTCGACATGGTTACCGCCGGACGCAGTGGGCGTGAGATACGAATTGGATTGGATGAAAACGCCATCGCAGGTGATTTTTATTGTTGTCACCATAGTCTAAGGTGTCTAGTTCTCGTTATGAAAGAGGTAAAAAATTTCGCTGTGCAGCAAATTTTTACTGAATTTTTTTTTAATTTATAACTAAAATTTTACATATTTTCTCACTTCCTGAAATAAGATTTTTGTTTGAAATTAATCATGTTTTGAGATTTTTTTTAATATTTGTAGTTGTCATTCTGATTAAGAGAGACGCACGCAGTTTTACGGTTTTTTTTTTTACAAAATATTGACGTCACTCAAATAGTTTATTACCGTTTTTGTCAATTAAATGGGTTTTACATGCTTTCTGCACATTTCCTTTACATATTCGCTCTTAATTAGCCGCACAACATAAGACATAAGCAAAAATCTTCTGCGCAAAATACACAAGAACAACACCAACAATAATTCGTTTCATTAAATTCAGGTCAACAGCCGATTGTAGGCGGAAACCGCAAACGAAATAATCAACAATTATCAACGGAAAATGGTAAAAAAAATGCACCGTTAAATATGTATAAAAAAAAAATACAATAAAATTTGGTAAAGAATTATTGCTTATTATAATACTGTTTTTATTTTGTTCACTTTTTTAATCTTTTCAGCTGCGCTGCGAATATTTCATTTAAAAATTTCTTGAAATCAGTTTTTTTTGTGATTTGCTTTCGATTTGTCATACAAATTGTGCCAAGAACATGAAAAAAAAAATAAAAGTCAAAATAAAAATATATAAAAAACTATAAACCGAAAAGACTTCAATTACCGCAAATAAAGATTTTCAACCGCAAATAAAGCCATTGAAAGCAAAGTAAAAAAGCAACAAAAAAGGAAAAGTCATCACAAAGCATTTAATTGTGGCGCAGATGAAAATTAAACATAGAATATAATCACACATACATACGCGTATACATACATAAATGCGTTCAAACGTAGAGAAACTGCCACTGACAATATTCACATGCATATATTTATAATAGTATGTATGTATGTATGTGTGTGTGTATTTGTAGCATTTTTGGCAAAAATTTCTAGTGCGCCAATTAGCGACAATTCTACTTCTACCCCAAGTTTTACCAAAACACAAATGTATAGATATTTATGTACTAGGTTTTCTATGTATATGTGTATGTATATGTATATGTGTATGCATGTACTTCTATTTCCATTATGTGCAGTGATTTTACACAAAAAAGCAACTAACCGAAGCGTCAGATTCAATTCCGCTATAACTAAAATAGAATTACATTTTCACACAGCTATACTACATACATACAAAGAAACATAGAGAAAAGTCAACAATGACGACAAATGAACCAATCAAAAGAAAAACTGAAAAAAAAACTGCTATGAGAACGATTTGTTCCACATACGCCCTGTCGGACATATGAAATAGTAGTACAATATATATATTATATGTATTATTATTATATATATATATATGTAATGAAAATATACATACATATGTACATATCTTTTCGACTTTTCGGCAACAACAACAAAAACATTGAACGAATGAATACAAGAATAGTACATACGAGTATATAGACCTTTGTATATACACATACATATATACATATGTACACATGAATGTAACATTGCTGATTTTGTTACAACTGCATAATCACCATTGCTGGCGTAGTTTTACCAAACATAAAAATTTCACATTCCAAATGTAATGAAAAGCACATATTTATACATATGTACAAACAATTCATACACAGTTGTAGTAAAAGTAAATTGAATCAAGCGCAAAGGACTGGCGTAATTACATAGACAAAATTTGGCAGATAGATATGTATATGAAAGTATATACAATACATATGTATATAAATTTAATTTTCTAATATAAGAAAACTACAATAACGGTTACTTGGAATTTTCGAATTAACGATTATTAGACGAAAACTTAAATATACGCTTTATTGAAACGTTCAGGCCAAGCTTGAATGAATTTTTGTTTCAAAGATTTTTTCTCATTTTCCTAATATTTTTTTGCGAACATATTTTATCGCAATAAATATTCTTTTTGATCGAATTAAAATTTTTAACATTCGTAAAACTTTTAGCGTTTTATAAGAGCTTTAGATAGATATCCGGGTACCGAGCAGTGTGGGTAGCTCCGTCTTACCTACCAAACATTTCACAAAAAGCGGTGCAGCCGTTTCGAAGGAATTTTAGTTACAAACACTGTGACACGAGAATTTTGTACGAGTATATTAGACTTTACCGTTATAAATTAAAAAGTTAACAAAAATCGCTTCATAAGTCTTGTACTCCCCTGTACGGAAAGTGTGTGTGTGAATAAAATTGCAATTACATTTTTAGTTACTGATTTTCCCAATCGCAATTTAAATACATACATGCAACACATGCACCACATACATATGTATTTATGATTGTTTGTTGGTAGCTTTTGTAAACTTTTCGCCCATTCAAAGCAGACCACATTGAGGCTCCCACCCAAAAGCTTTCGTTCGCCTTTTTGGTATTCATGTGAGCATGTGCAGTTGTTATACATACGAGTATATATATGTATGTTAAACATACACATATTTGTATGCGATTATGCAGTATTGTACAACAGTATTTTTCATTCAATTTACCCTTTGAATTGCATTATTTTTCAAATGTTTTTGTGGCTTTCAAATTGTAAACCACACAACTCGTACTTCGCCAAAGCCCAACTAGTCTGTATTGTGACTTTTCATGCCAAAAGCGTTTCGGCGGGTTTGCTAAAGAAATTTACTATAATACAATACATATATACGAGTATATATATATATATATATATGTATGTATGTATATACGTATACCATTGTAGGTGTGAACTCTCGCTGTTACTGAAACACTGTTTGTTTACTGGAATCTATGCATTTTCACCACACTGCGTGTTGAATTTCGATTTTTTCCGCGCTTCTAGGTTGGGAAAACACGATTCTATTGCCGTTGTAAAATGTGCAAATAAATAGTGTGATTAGGAATGCAATATATTTATTTATATATGCAGATTTACATATGTATGTATGTATGTGTGTGTGCGCGCTAATATTCACATACAGATGCATGCAATTTTATAGATGCGTGCACTTTTTGGCACGGAAGTCAATGAGAATTAGGCTTGTCTTTTGAATTCAATGGAAATAAATTAGCAAAGCAGAGCAAAGTAAAAAGTAGTCTGTGGGAAAATATCGCAGAATATTTTCATGTTCTTCAATGGACTTGTAGTCGCATATGTGTGCAGCTTTTATGAATTTCATGCCAGAAAAACACACAGAAGGAATTAAAAATAAATTGTTTATAAAAATAATTAATTGTTAATTAATTAATTTCATTGAGAATTATTAACAAACGAAGCATTGTTATATGACCAAGTGGTAAGTAAGGGCTCACACCGATCTACTGATTCAAAGTGGAATCTTTAATTGAGAGATGTTTACGAACAGGATTGCCACTTATTGGCTGTAGTAAAAAGAAATCCACTACTTTTCCAATAGATGGCATTATTTATCTGTATCTCCCGTTTTTTAAGTCCGATCGCATGGCGTCAGAAACATGACGCTTCGTGTTAAAAATGCTTTTCTGACTAAAAAGAGTTTTCGAAATTATTTTAAACTAAGAATAATCTCCAATGTATGAGAAAAGTGTTACATCTTGAATAGAGACTGAATGAGAGCTGCGCAGAATTTCTTAAATATAAATCTTTTCATAAGCGTTTAAGCATTCCATTTTGTTCAAAAATTTCATATCAAAGGCCTCATGAAATTTTTATAGCGAAATTTATTAATTTCAATGCGCCGTTGAAGCGTTTATTTTTTTCATTTTTATTACTGGCGTAGTTTTTACTTGTCAAATGTCAAAAAATTAAAACTTCAAAAGTGACATCTACCGGAAAAACAGGTTATACAAAATAATACCTTCTCTTAGAAGACTCTTAAAGGTTCTGATACTTCGTTGTACATCTTCGTGGCATATACTCCATGCATTATTTAGAACGACGGAGGAAGCTTGTTGTACCTGAACAAGTATGGAATCCTTATCTGCTCTACAATCGTTTAACTGTATACATAGGATTTTTATCATGTTGGTATATTGCATTTTCTTCTCATCTTGAGGTCTCGTAACTGTTTGAAGAATGAAGAAAGCCATTAACTCTGCACCCATTCCATTGCATGAAGAACTTTTCCAGGCAATTACGATGCCTCTGCCATGCTTTGAAATGCCACAGCGAGAACATGGATTTAAATCCTGTTCTTTTGGTCTTAAGCTGGTAAACAAACTCACGTAATCTTCGATTTTAAACATGAATTCATCTGGAAAAGAACTACTATTCCCCACTTTTTGATAAATGATCTAGTTGATAGGCACTTTTGCAAACTTAAGTTGTGCTTTGCGTTTCATATGTGAAATTAAAGGTGTTCTCGCGATTCTGTAGATTGCTAAACCGCCATTGGCAACGTCTTCTTGGATGGATTCAAGGCTAATATTATATCTAGTCAACATTTACTTTGTATGTAAAGTGATCTTTTTGAACTGCTCGGATGAGAAAAAAATTAGTATTTAAATGTTTAAAAATCTTATTTCTTTTTTGTTTTTTTCGCAGCATCAACCAACCGTGTTTTAGTTTTTTCGCACACTGTATGTATGACATCGATAAATGCACCGCTTGAAAACTACAAAACAATCAACATAAACCGTAAAAAATGAAAACAATAAATCAAATCGCCCCGGGTTATGCAAAATGAATACTGCTAACTCATCATTAATTGCCGTTATTTAATTACGGTTATTTTAAAAACTGTTTTCAACTGAGGTGCAATGCAAAGAGTGGAAAATTGCAAATACATGCATACATACCTACTCGAATGTATGTAACAAAAATGAAAATGCCAGCAAGAAAAAGCGAAAAAGTTGTTGAGCAGAGACGAACGAACGAAATACATAATATTACACAAAAATGCATGTAAAGGGCGCAAAATGAGATGATTATAAGGCAAAACTCTTGGTCAAATAATTAATTATAAGCGTTTTATTTTTTCTTGAAAAACAACATGCCCAATAAGCCACCCTCTCAAGAATGGGAAATATTTTAATTTTATTAAGTAACCTACGAAGCCTTGATGTTTGTATGA